GGGGCCCAGCCCTGCACGCGGGGCTCGAGGGGAGGCCCCCCCAGTGCTGAGCACAGGGACAGAATCACATCCCTGCTCCTGCTGGCCAACTGCTCCTAGTACAAGCCAGGATGCTGTGGCAAACTTACTGAGGGTGCACTTGATCCCCTTGTCCAGGTCGTTGATAAAGATATTAAAGAGAACTGGCCCTGGTACTGAGCTCTGAAGGACCCCGCTTGCAACTGGCCACCAACTGGATTTAACTCCACTCACCACCACTCTCTGGGCCCGGCCATCCAGCTAGTTTTTCCCCAGTGAAAAGTGTGCCTGCCCAAGGCATGGGCAGCCAGTTTCTCCAGGGCAATGCTGTGGGAAATGATGTCAAAGGCTTTACTGAAGTCTGGGTAGACAACACCCACAGCCTTTCCCTCATGCACTAAGTGGATCACCTTGCCATAGGAGATCAGGTTAGTCAAGCAGGACCTACCTTTCATAAACCCATGCTGACTGGGCCTGAACCCCTGGTTGTCCTATATATGCCTCAGGATGACACTTAGGAAGATGTGCTCCGTAACCTTCTTGTGCTGGAAGTGTGCCTTCCTACCATTTGTCTTTGAGGTCTTCTCCAGGTTTCATTTAAGAAGCTCAGAGTCTCTTTGGATTATGCCATAGGGTAATGGCTGTGAAAATCTTGACAGCTGCAGAAAAACAAACCATTTCTGATTCAGGGTTAATGGGTCCTAGCAAAAGAAAACAAGAATTTTATATGTAACATCAATGTACATGGTATAACAGAAGGGACTTGAACCAATTTTAAATAAAGTGGGATCTGTAATGTAGGCCATGATTCAGTACAATAGAAGAAATATTCTTTCTTGAAGGAAAATACAGAGTTATGCTTAGTAATTGAATAATAGAGTTTCTAAGGTATTTTTTGAATTAATCTGGATAATTATGTAAGCTTCTGTATCTGTGATGTAACAGGTATGTCTCTGCATTTGTATATATTGATGTCAAATACATGTTTTAGTAAGTGTAATGACTTCTATTTTTCTAGGTTAGTGGATGACCGGTGTGTGGTTCAGCCAGAGGCAGGTGACCTTGCTAATCCTCCAAAGAAGTTCAGAGGTCAGTAACTGGGGATTTTTTTTTTTTTTTAAATGACTGATTGATGCATTTCTGACTCCTGGAGAACTTTGCCATACCAGACACAAAACTTCCCAGATGCCTTCATGGTTTGGGAACGCATTGCTGAAGTTTCCAAGTGGAATGCAAATGACGGATCTTAAAAACTAAATATAAAATCCACAAGAGCGTGAGAGGTAGATGTAAAACATGGGGAAAGGAAATAATTTTCCTGTAGTCCAAGAGCTGGTTGCTCTCTTCTTGTACACTGAATGCAGATCCCCTACTGTGTGACCAACTCCTTCCTCCAGCCCTGCTCTTACTGTAAATGGGAAACAAGCTTCTGAGTTTAAATCTACGTGAGCTGCTGGTTTGTTTATTTTTTAAAAAGATGAGACAACACTTTAAGGACTACCCCCAAATATTTTCACAGACTCACAAAATGGTAAGGATTGGAGGGGACCTCTGAAGATCATCTAGTCCAACCTTCCTGCTAAAGCATGATCACCTAGAATAGGTCTCACAGGAACGTGTCTAGGCGGATTTTGAAAGTCTCCAGAGAAGGAGACTCCACACCCTCTCTGGGCAGCCTGTGCCAGGGCTCTGTCACCCTCATGGTAACGAAGTATTTTCTTATATTCAGGTTGTCAGCTTTTAATTTTGCTTTTGCTTAAAACCTTATCTGATTTTTCTCAACTTTCTTAGACACGATCTTGCAGATTTGGGTAACTCTGTTTTGCTTATTGGGGGAAATAATGCACTGACAACATGCAATTTCTACTTCTTGAATGCTAAAAAATGCACCTGTGGTATCTGAAGTTACATGTGGTTATGTGCAGGGTATGGAAATAAAACCTCTCAGTCTTGTCTGTACTTGATTTGAGCCATTGGCCATGCTGTGCCAGCGTAGAGCCTTTCTAGCCTGATCCAGACCTCTTTTGGCTTAGATGAGCTTGGATTCACACTAGATAAGAGCTAAAGACAGTTATGGCTTGCCTGGTTTAGTGCAAGAGGAATGTCTTTCATGGCTGCTTGCATCTATCTTGAGGGGTTGCACTGACGTTCTTAACCTTATTAATTTATTTCCAGTTTTTATTATTAGAAATTAGGAAAGAGAGGATGTACACTTAGAAACTAATAGTAATAAATTTCAGTCACTTGTGTGATGTCATGGAATAACTTTATAACAGAGATGGGGATAAAATCAAGTTCTCTGTTGTGGCTTTCAGGCTACCTAACTGTGATTTCATCCTCTTGCTGCCTGCAAAGACATACGTAATTCACAGCTTCCAGGCTGCACAAAATTTCAGGTGGAGATTCTTTGGACGATATTTCTGTCATTTCACTACCCTGATGTGTTCCCAAAGTAGAACTTATCCAGGTTTCTAGATGAGATACGGATCACTAGAAAAGATTTCCATGTGGCAGTATAGTTGCAGAATACATCCAAATGCCTATGATCAGGGAGCTGAACAGAGGTTCAAAAGACAACCTTATTTTTTTCATTGTCTAACGTTTGAGGGCTTGATTTTATAACTTCAGTAGAGTTCTTTTATCACAGTTCTGTGCTCATTCCTGACTTGAAAAGGCAAAGAAGGAAAAAATCCATGGTGTTCTATATTTTTTAAGAAAAAATAAAAACCAACCAAAAACTAAAGTACCCACCAAAAAAAGTGATTTCTGTAGCATTGTCTGTGCACTTTGATCCGGGGTGGAAGGTGATTCGAGCTCTCAGCGCTTAGTGGCGTGCCATCGGTAGTGGCAGTAGTACGTGTGTGCATAGTTCAGCTGCCAGAGGGGGAAGAGGCACAGACAAGACTTACAGCTGCTTTCTGCTGCTGGGAAATGCGAGGGCTCTACTCTGAGTTACATCCCAGCTTCTGCAGGGGAATGGTTTCTATTAGTTGTAGACAGTTTTGGCACTGTTCCCTAGTACAACCTCTGCTTGCTGCTTGCATAACACTTCCCTTTATCTCTAGTTGCCTCTGCTCCCTCTTCCTCACAGAATCTAACCTTTCCTCCAAACTCAGATCCTCCATTTCTTGGGGATCCCCTTTTCTCCCTTTCCTTCCCTGCCCCAAAACTTGTTGCTAGCTACATTCCTCCTCACTGCTGCTTCTTAGGTCCCTTTGGCTCTGGCAGCTCCTCTCCCTGTCACTCTTTACCTCCTTCTGGCATAGGGTGCACCCATATCTGATTTAATTTTGAAGTGACTTGCTTAGCTATCGCTAGCGTTGTGGTCCTGTGCTAATGTGGATGAACTGCATCATCTGTAGGGGAAGCTAAATTAGTGAAAAAGCAAGTTTTGTCACCTGACTTGATGCAACCCACCATGCTGTACTATCATGGCTGTATTGTTAGGGGCCACATCCAGTAGCATTTTCATGCTGCTTCAAGTATGTGTAATCCAGTGGCATTGAGAAGAATGGCTGCAGCAAAGATAAAGCCACTGTTTGGTTGTTTTCTCCTTCCTCTTATAAGTCAATTTCCAAGTTGCCCGGTAATAGAAAAAGGAGTAATGGGTTTCAGTTAGAACATAGAAAGTTCCACCTCAACGTGAGGAGAAACTTCTTTACTGTGAGGGTGACAGAGAGGTTGTGGAGTCTCCTTCTCTGGAGACTTTCAAAACCCACCTGGACGCGTTCCTGTGTGACCTGTTCTAGGTGATCCTGCTCTGGCAGGGGGGTTGGAGTAGATGATCTCTAGAGGTCCCTTCCAACCCCAAACATTCTGTGATTCTATGATTCTAAACGTGGGAATAGCAGGGGTTTTGCTGAGAACACAGCTGGAACTTGCTGTCTAATTGGGATTTAGTGCCCAGTACCCCGGAGGTGTCTATATTAAGAGAACAACCAAAAGCACATCTCTGTCACGCTTTGTTAAATTTCATAGCTCTGCTCAAGAGCACTGAGACAAAAGAGTTGTTAAACGTTCTTGTAACCAAGAAAAGTAAGCAAAACCTGTATTTCCACCCCCCCCCCAAGAATCTGCTGGGAAATAGCATCCAATTAAAGCAGTGAAGTTAATACAACAAACAAAAACCGCTTTAACTAGGTTCTTGACATAAAAAGAAGACTTAGGCATGAATGATTAATTGAATGATTAGACATAAGCAACTAAAAATAGCATGTAACAGCAGGAAGAGTAGGGCCTCCTGAGTAATAGAAACTACTGTCTGTATGGTTTACAATGTTTTTATCACCGATAGCTGAACTGGCGTTGATTTGAGGTTAGAGCATGACCTAAGAGTCAAAGAAGTATGAGAAAGGCATGTTTCTAACAAGATGTTTAGATTCCAAGGACTGACTGAAAGTTAACGTAAGAGGCCTCTCTTTTTGGTAATATTTTATCAACTCTTTCCCCAATAGAAGAAAAAAGAAAAAAAAGGAGGAAAAAAAAGAGAATTGCGTTTTCTAACCGGTTGTATCCCTTCTACAGAGTTCACTCAGAGATCAAATTTAGATTCCGAGCTGTTGGCCTGAACTGAAATTCTGCGTAAAGAGTTGTCTTAAAATAGCAGTTTCGTTTTTTGTTACGTGTTTACCTTCTATTTTTTGTGTGGGTGGTAGCTATTCTAGTTGTTTCAGAACATCCTACAAAACAGAGTATTGTTAAGCTAAGGGAAGCTGTGGTTGGTTTTCATTTTGTGTCCGTGCAGAGAAGCCGCGGTCCAGATTTCCCCTTCGTTCACATTGGAATGAGCCTGGAGTGGCTCTGTGTTCTTCAATGTGCATAGGCAGATTTGCATCGGTGCAAAGGAGGGCACAGTTTGGTCCCACACGTGTTTCCTGAAGTCTGTTGAAGGGGAAAAAAAAAAAAGAAAAAAGAAAAAAAGAAAGCATTTGCAGTTTTGCAGTTGCATTTAAGGGACTGATCAAGCCAGGTGCTTCTTGTCCTAATTCTAACTGCAGCTAGTGAGGGCTAAAGCACTTTGTGTCGTGGTGGAAGTGCTGACCCCGTGGCAGGGCCAGGGCTCACAGAGATTAGAAAGGACCCTGTGTGCCACATGTCCAGTGCTTCTGAAGGGAAGTCACATCACGAGCAGCAGAACTGCAAGTTTCCTTAGCCTGTGACCTTAAACATACCTTAGCTCCATGCTGTTACCTCCAGTGGGAAACGCTTGCAGCTTCCAAGGTGTAAAATAGCACAGATAAGATCTACTTCTTGGGCGAATTTAGCAACTCTGAAAAAGGAGCACCAGTCTCTCTTCCGTTTTAAATGTAAAATGACCCAAGTCATTAAACTGATTCAAAATTCCCTACATTTTATACCTATTTTTTCTTTAGGCATCTTCAATGAAAGCGTTGTCTGAGTGCCTAGATATTCTCCTCTTGACTTTTTCTTAATTTTTATTCCGTTCTAAGCTTTTTCTGTCGTTGTTCTTACTTTTTCTCTCCCTTCCATTATGTTCCTCTGTGTTCTCCCCTTTCCTCCTCCTCCCCTTTCCTCTGCCGTCTGCCATTTTCCTTTTTGCTTGCCTTCCTCTAAATAATTTTTGTTTGTTCTTGTGTTTTCTGCTTGTTTCTCTCAGTTCCACTTTTTTTTCAGACTCCTGATTGCTTTTACTGTTGTCCTCCTTAGGACTCATCTTTGCCCAACTCCTTGCTCCCTCACATTCTTTTCCATTCTCACTCCAGCTCTTTTTTACCTTTCTGTATTTTTTTTTTCAAAACACATAGATTTGTGCACACTGTGATTTAATAGCCCTGTCACTTCCACTTACCAGTTTGTCAGCCTGCTGGTTTAAGTAAAGCCATGTGATAATTTCTCTAGTTCTGCAAATCATGTAAATCTTCCGTGATGGGCCAGAGTTGAATTTCTAACACTTAAAAAAAAAAGAAAAAAGAAGGGGAGCAGCAGGGCAGGGAGAGAAAAGTATCTGACAAATACCATTCTATGCCATCTTTATCCAGTATCAAGAAACATTTAAAAGGCGTAATGTGAGTTATTTTCCTTTTCAGACTTCCTGAGGGTAGTTGCTTTTTGCTCAGAGGATGTGCCCAATGTGTGTTGTTGCCCTTTGCTGGGGCACATGGGCAGTTCAGTGCCTGGTGCATCCTCCGTGGATCATGCTCTGGGAGCTGCTGCTTTCCATCTTTTGATTGTTCTGATTAATAAATTCCATTTCTCCCCCCTAAAATAAGTAATTGGCCTGTGTCTCAGCACTGATAATTTGTCATATTTTCTAACCTGCTAATAAGCCACAGTGTAGCATAGGAGGTTAGGCCTGGAGTGTGACCAGGGAGAGCTTCCTTCTTTTTTTTCTTTTGTTTTTTTACATTTTGTAAAGAAAAAGTGATTTTTTTATTGTTTCAGAAATGTGTGTGTGGGCTAGGGTAGGCAATGTTTCTCATTTTCTCCATCTTTTTACTTTGTGCACAAGTAATTGAAATTTTGCCTGGCAGGTTTTGTGGGTATGAGAAAACTGATGAAACTGCAAAGTTGAACACATGAAAGTTTAGTAAGTGAAACTGGCTGATACTTTTAAGCTATTTGATTTTAAGCTATTTGTTTACCTTTGATAGTGCCTACTTAATTAGTATCCTCAGGAAGAAAAGGGTTTATGTAAAACTCCTAAAGTAGTGAGTTAGGAGCTAGGACTATCCGACAACGTCTGGAGAAGTTGAAAGAGATGCTCTGTTCCGTGAGTGGGTTGCTAGCCTGACCTCCGGGAGGGCTGAGCTTTTCATCTGCTGTCTGTGTTGGAAAGTTGCTTTATAATCTTACACTTCAGTTTCTCCTTTTTTCCTGTTTATTTAAACTATATGTTCTCTAGGGCAGGCACTCATTCCCCGACCTCCCCCCTCGATGTTTAGAACCACGAAGCTCGAATTTATGTAGTAGCCTATTGTCACTTTAATAAAAGTAAGTGGAAAAAACGTAAAAAAAATAGTGCAGTGACCTATTTTTAATGTACCTGGAATCTTAAAAAAGTAGAGAAATCTTGTCTGGAAACAAAGAATACGATTTATTTTTTTTAATCTAGAAATGGAGGAAAATATAATTGAAATAGTTTTAATCTTAATGATGAAAAAAGTTCTCAGTAGTTCAGCTTCTAAAGCAGTGAGGAGTGCTGTGTTGTGCGGTGTGGCTGCAGGTGGAGCTGTGTGGTGGCAGAGACTACCAAGCCCTACATTTCCTTTTCTTGGAGAGTTTTCCTGTGGGAGAATTCACCCATCTTCGAGAGGCAGACCCCGACAGTAGCGACTGCGCATCTGTGCACACATCTTGCGTTGCTCTCAGCAGCGTAGGAGCACAGTGCTTGGAGATTCAGCATGAGGATGAGAAGCAGAGTGTTTACTCAAGTCGCAGGATATGCGAGGAGTCACTGAGAAATAAAGACTGGTCCTATAAAAAGAAGGTATTGTTACTTCAGAGAAATAAGTGTTTTATGAACACTTGTGAGAAGGCACGTTAATTATGGATTGTTACAGAAAATAATAGCGAGCTTTTTTCTTGTGGGATGAAATATTGATACTCAACGTAAAATCTTCTGCAACATACAGCGTGATTTAACAGTACACAGCATTTTGTAACTATTCCTTCTAGGTGTCCAGGATATTGCAAAAGTTACCTGGGAGTTATGTACTCTAGATTGTATGACATTGTGAATGTTCCCCTTTGAAATGAAAGTAAACACCTTTGCAAGGTGGCTGGGTTTGCTTTGATAAAGATTTGTTATGCTTTCTCTTAGGAACAGCAGCTCAGGTCTGTGACTAGGGAGCAGATTGCTGAGGACTTTGTGTCAGTGCCAAGGAAAGTTCTACCACCCGCAGTGTTTTTGCTTGAACAAGCTTTTCCACTATGAATAGTAGAGGAAGATCAACTGCTTTGAAGGGAAGAAGCAATGCATTGAAAACCTTGGTGTGATGGTCAATATATGAGAGGACAAATGGCAGATTTGCAGAACTAAAGGCGTTGCAGCTTGGTTGGTGGCTTGAGAGCCAGCCCTGTCACAGACTGCTAGCTCTGGGGACGCAGGTGGTGGGAGGAAGCTGTGGCACTATCTTACTACAGTGGTTTTGACAGCACTGACATCAGATAGCTGTGCTTAGCTGGGCCTGATTGTAGTTAAGGGTGTTGCCTGTATTTTTTTAAATAATGAGAGTTCATTTTTACTTAGGAAAGGCAAGGCCAGTCTTCACATGAGATTCCCCTTCTCTCTCCTGTTGTATCACAAGAGATATTCCTACGGTAACATGGTTTCAGTAACTCCTCACAGACTGTAAAGAGATGGATGTGTTGGAGGATAGATCTTAGAGGAGCTAGATCTCCTCCTCTTCCTCCCTGTGTGAAAGAGTAATTCCATTGGATTGATAGTGTTGAAAATGAGAATAGGGTCTGCCTTGGTGCATCTTCTATAGAGATGTTGTGAGTTTGACACTTGAATTTCCACTCAGAGTGGAACAGTTAGGAAACTTATCTTCTCATGTGCTCTTGTGGATTGGAGAGCTGGAACAACTCCTAGGTAGTTAGCAACTGCAGATGCTAAACTTGCTCTGGAAATCAGATAGTGAGTAGGACAGCACTGTAAAATAGAAACTGTCTGCTGCTGACCTGACTCAGTGGTTAAACGCCCAGACTCTGACTTTAGGATTGTTCCCTATAACTTCCCCTGCTGATGTTTTTGTGACAGTAATGAGTGAATGACGAGATTATACTCTACTTAAGAATGACGTGCAAGTTTGGTAAATTCAGCAGTGACCTACACATTGAGCCTGTGTGTAACTGGGACGTGTACTTAGTGTTGATATTGTGGTTGCTATTTCATATTGCAGCGTCTTCGATAACAGAGGAAAGGGTGACTGTACAGTGCTTTTGGAAGGGGACTCTCTTTGGAGAAGGTGGCAGGAGAGCTGAGGGTAGAGAGGACTCTTTTCAAATTATTTTGTGCAATGCATGTGCCATTAACTGTGTTGAGTGTGGTGGTAAATAAACATTTCATGCTATTCCCCTGGGCCTAGTGTGCTTCTTCTCCTCTTTATCTCTTTCTTTTCTTTATTTTTGTGAGGAGGACTGACTGTGCCATGCTCTGTGCGATGCAGCTCTCGGGTGGTGTTGCCGAGTTTCTTCTTGGTGGGAAAGTTGCGTTACGATCAGCAGGGAAGTGATGTTGCTGATTCTGGCCAAACTGGGGTGTCAGCACCTGCAAGATGTGCTTGTGGGATCAGAAGAGGAATTTTTTTATTCTTAATCCAGCCCTGGGGAAAAACCTCTTCTAAGTAGGTTGGATTGCTGCTATTACGTAGCTCTAGCTTGTGCCATGGTTGGGTGGCTGGGAGCCAGGAAGGAGTAGTTACTTCCTTCCCACCTCTACCTCTCCGAGACCCTGGCAAGGAGCAGGAGGGTTGTTCTCCTCCGGATGTGGATTAATCCTCAGAGAGTGCTTGGCTATCAGTGGAGGGCTGATAGCTTGGGTCAGGCTTTCCTTTGTCATCTCGTAATCTCAACCCATGTTGGTGAAGAGTTTCATGCTATAGTACATGTGCAGTCCTGTATGTTCTTACTGGTCTTACAGCAAAACTGTCCCTTCCTCTTGCCAGCTGATATGAGTGGGGTGTGAACGGACAATTACCAAAATCTGCTAAGTAAAATGCCTTTCCGGCCAAGCTTTTAGAGCAGATACCATTTTAGGCTAGGTAACATTTATCACTCTAAAAGCAGTCAGATTTGGAAGAGTCATGAGCCTCTATTTCCAATCTACAGGACTGTCACTGGACCCCTGAAAAACAAGAAGTCTTGAATCAGGGAATTTCACAAAATAAGGTTTACTGCCAATTAACATTATCTTTCAATTATTAATTCTGGTATTGGGAAATAAAGATGAACAACAGAAGAAACATTTAGAGAAGCACCCCTTGGCTTCCCTCCTGACACACCTCTCTCCCTTCCTGGTTCCCAGCTCCATCGCTGCACCAGCACGGGATGGGGAGGGCATGGAGGTCTGTGCTTTGCGACTCGCTTTCCTTTGCTGCTTCTCGTTTCTTACTCCCTGGATGGCTGCGGTCCCCTCAGAGTGTACTGGTTTTCTGGGCAGCCACCCTGCTCAGGTGATTCCTCTCGGGTGGCCTTCCCTCCCTCCCTCCTTACCCCTTTCTTCACCTGGCCTATTGGATGGCGGTGGTGTTCCGTTTGTGTCACTGTTGTTTTTACTGTTATTTTCTTTTTAAAATCGTCTCTTAGTGAGGGCACGTGTAGACCCAAACACCTTCTTAACCTCCCCAGTGGCTTACAGGTGAATGCCCATGCAATCTCCTGTTTCAGCAGTGCCAGAAGGAGCCAGGAAGGCAGATGTATGGTGTACAGAAAGCAGGACTTATTTTTCCTCAAAGTTTCATGTGCCTTGGAACAGTGCATCTGTAGCATTGTGCTGCGGCACAGAGTGCTAATAAAGCAATAGGCAGTTTGGCCCGTGGCAGGCTCACAGCCTGGGATTCATACAGAGGTTGCAGAGGGGTTGCACAGCGAGCTCACATGCCGGGCACTGAGGGTTTTAGGTGCAACTCAGATTTCTGTCACCCTGTTTATGGTATCATTGCCATCGAGCTGTTTGGTGACTATGTTTAAACACTGGTATCTAGGCATTTCTGGAAAAAGAAAACCAAACCAAAGCATGCTTAAAAATGAAGGAAGTGTCTTTCAACGTTGCTTATGAGCATTTCTTTCAATCTTCCACAGACTGCCTTTTCAAGGTGTGTCCTATGAACCGATATTCAGCCCAGAAGCAGTACTGGAAAGCCAAGCAAGCCAAACAAGGAAACCATACAGAAGCAGCGCTGCTGAAGAAACTTCAAGTAAGAGAGATCTGTATTTGTAATCTTATCTCAGTCTGCAGGCTGTAGAATTACAATAGAATGAGAAAGAATAGTAAGTGCCTTGGGAACCACTGTGATGGGTATTATTATGCCACCACAGCAACTTCATATTCTTCTTAGCTCTCCTACCTCCTAACTGGTATTTATTGCCTCTGCCCTGTTTTTTGTCTTGCTCTGACGTGGCGGTTGTGCCTTTGCTATAAGCAAAATATTGCTTTCAGAAGTTTTATGAAGTAAAAATGGAGTTGTTAAAATCAGGAATGGTCCTTGGTTTAAAACATGCTATTATTTTAGAAGTCCTTTCCCAGAGTCAGGCAGAGGGATGGACAAAGAGATGTTTTCAGTGTTGTATCCCTCAGAATTGCAGTTGTCTCTACTTTCAGTCTAGGTGATTGTTCTCTGAACAGTTGAGCTGATTTTGTTTTACATACAGTGTGGAAGGAGCAATAACTCTGTCTCTGAAAGAGAACTGTCCTGATGTGATGATTGAATGCATAAGACTAAGTGAAAACAAGTTCGTATCAAACCTGGATGATGGTTTTATGTGCAGCGGAAAGGCTGCCAGTGCTTCTAGTTGAAAACAGCAGGGAAGGCACATGGTGTGTGGCTAGAGCTAGCTACACAGCAATTAGAGCTAGGAGCTGACAGTTTGTTCTGTGGCTGTGTTTGACCCAGACTATTGTGCTTAGCCTTGATTTTGCAATGTGCAGCCTACTAGTTTTATTGTATATAGTCAATGTATTGGTATGCAATTAAAAACCCAACAAGTAAAAGGGATGGTGACAGAGAAAAGCTAATTATAGGCCCTTCTTTCTCCTCTTTCAGGATGAAATAAAGCCACTGGAATTACTTACTGTGCTTGAAAATTTTTAAAACAGCATGCATCTCAGGTGTGATCCGCAAATTGTGACTGAGTTTGTATTCTGAGTTATAAAAACTCAGAATCGTTACACAGGGTCTGTGTGATTATATTTCAGAAAATTCTGCTGCAGCAGAATTCGGACGCTAATATTTTCAGTGCAGTAATGCTTGCAGGTTGGAGGAAGCATTTTACATGTGATTCGATTTCCTTTCTACACTATCTGTTCCAGTAGCTGAATGCAGATACTGATTCTGTAGAGTTTAAAGAAGTACCATTCTCTTGCAGCATGCAGCAGAACTGGAACAAAAGCAGAACGAAAGCGAGAACAGGAAGCTGTTGGGCGAAATTGTAAAATACAGCAATGTCATACAGGTAAACCTATTGAAATCCATCTGCCTTCTCCCAGAGATGGAAAGGAAACAGTTGTTTCATGTCAAGGTTACAGCGAGAGTGAAACTAACCTCAGTAATCTGGACTGTCAGGGGTCGGGTAAACAGAACTTGGTACAGTTTACAATATTGTGTTTTTCTGTCTGTTTTAAAGCCTAGCAGAAGTGCTGCATATTCATGTTTAAATAATATAAGATAAATTTTATGTGTAACTTTTACTGCTGTGGTTTAGAATCTGAATGTAAATACGTGTCTTTTATTTTCAAGATTTATTTCAAAATCATGTTATGGAGGTGCTTTGCAGCTCCTTTTAAATCACTGAAGTAATTTGTACTTTGTGACATATAAATGGTCCAGAAGTTATGTTCTTAAGTGCAGTACAACTTTCCTGTAACGGATTGAATTCCTGAAGGTAACACTCTTAACAGACCCTTGCCCTACCTGTGTAGTATATGCTGTAAAATTGAACACTGACACATTTCTCTCAATCTGAAGTATAGCATCAGTTTTCCTAAACTGCACTGTACTTTGATAACTCTCTTGTAGTTTTATTTTGTAATTATATATGTTATGAAAAATTACTACAGTGTGAAAGCCTTTGCCTCCTGTTTAGACTGGAGGGAGAAAAAGCAACAGCTGTACCAATGTTTTGAATTATTATTTGTTCACAGCTGCTGCACATAAAAAGTAACAAGTACCTCACAGTCAATAAGAGATTGCCAGCTCTGCTGGAGAAGAATGCAATGCGGGTATCTCTGGATGCTGCAGGGAACGAGGGATCCTGGTTTTATATCCAGCCGTTCTGGAAACTAAGGAGTGAAGGTGACAATGTAAGTGGAAATGCCAAATGTGTAAGAGGGAGAAAACAGAAAGTTTCTAGAAGACCCATGATTTCTTTTCTACTGGCATAAATCATAATGGATTAAGTTTGGGAAAACAAATATTTTAAACAATGCTTGGGACTATTAGCTTTTATGTGTCACTAGAAAGTGTTATCAAATGATGTGGTCTGGAATCTGAAATGTTGCCATGTTCATCTGAGCCTCTGCTGCCCTGTGTTTGGGTATCTCTGCTAAGCCTACCTGTTGTGTACAGATTTACAAAGCTGATAATAACTCTTGGTTTACACGAGAGTAAAAATTTTTTTTACCCTTTAAAAATAAATATTCTGGGCAACACTTTTTTTCTAGAGTTCAGCAGACAATATCTTTAGGAAATATGTCGGGCTTCTTTAAGACTGTATGCCCCTTCCACACATGAGTGGCATCTGTGATTGGAATTGGATTGGGTAATCTGGTGAGCCTTTTCTGAATAGGTTTTGGTAGAAGTCTTGTGTATTGGTAAGAGGAAGAATATGTAGGAGAGCTCCTTGCTGCAGATATAAGACTTGCACCCTGAGATCAAAACTCAATTCTTGATTCAGTCAGCTGTGGCTTGAAGTGCCCACTCTGCAGGATTCAGATCTGCTTCCGCAAAGGCCACGTGGTGAACTTCCCGTTCAGTCCCCATGTGTTGCCTGATCTAGTTGAGAGGTGGCGTCCCTGGTGGCAGGGAGGCTGGATTAAAATGATCTCTAAAGTCCCTTCCAGCTCAGGCCATTCTATGATTCTAACTTGTGTGATTTTATATTATAGAGCTGGCTGGGAGTATTTGGTCAGTCATCCCTGTGAAGTAATGGATGACAAAGTCCTCTCCAGATCACAGACAGGAATGCGTATTTTCTTGTGTATTTTCCCTCAGCGGTTACCTAGCTCTTGGGATGCTGTCCAGGATGATTGTGGTTGCTTGCAGCTCCTTTTGGCAATCGGTTGCAGGGAGGGAAAGGAGTGCATTCCCGGCTCCTGGTCAGAAGTCTCTAAAGTCATAGCCTTTCCTGACTCCACACAGTGATCAGAAGGGGATGTGAAAAGCTCACCTTGTCCCTAAGCCTGTTTCAGAGAAGAGCAGCAAATGCGAGTAGCCTTATGGGGCACCTCTGCATGGCTTTTCAGCTAGGGAAAATAAGTGTTATGGATCAGATGTTAACTTAGTATTCCTTTCCTTCTTTGGAAGGAAAAAACCCAAATAATCGTGATTTACAGCTTTAAGGTTTTGTCTTAATTTCTTAGAATAATGTCAGTTCAGTTTCTTAATTTCTCATGCCTGGGAAATAAGTGCTTGTCATGCTCTCTAGAGTAAGGACCTGGAGTTCCAGGTTTTGATCTGCAAAACTATTGTGAGCTCTGACATCTGAGAGCAGCAGAATACTCTTAAGTCTTGTAAGTCATCCTCCGTTTTACGCTATTGTGGGCATGTAAGAGTTTGAAAGCAGTTTTGCTGATCTGAAAAGTTTGCAGATCATGGCAGTGATCTCTGTAACATCCCGCTCTGCAGATGCCTCTCCTGTTTTTTTTACTGTGCGGCTCTATTTGACAAGCTCTGAGCTACAAGGGCCATGTGGGAAACTGTCAGGTTTACTTCCTAACTTAAGGGTCTCATTTGGAACCTGCCTAATGCTCATTTTCTGTCATCAGGTGTTGCCTTTCAGAGCTGGGAAGTCCTTTGGTAGCTTTCTCGGAACTACTCTGACACATTTCCACTAATTCAACAGCTGCCTTGTTTCTGTGGCTGTTGTAAGGGGAGCAGGAGTAGCAAGCAATGGGGGAAAGTCTTCATTTGCCTCTCAGATGGAAAGAGGCTCCAGCCTTGTACCCACTCCTTCCCTCTCAGTTACTCCCAGACATGTGCTCATTAAAAGGCAAAGTTTCTGGGAGAATCATCTACAAGCATGTCATACCACATGAGCTGAGGCTACTTTGCCCACTCACTAGGTGAACTTTTGGAGGACTTCCATTTTTTTATACACTTTTCTTCTTCTGAACTCTCAGTGCGTGGGGTTAGCTTGGTATATCGGGCACTTATTTTGGTTGGAAACTTGTGTTTTTATTTTTTATTTTCAGTTTCTCTGCTATAGTGAGGAAATTCCCGAAGAAAATGCATTTTAAAAAGTATTTAGAACAGTAGAAGTGAGTATTGAATAACTACTTGGATGACTGCTACTGTGTCAGGGTAGCCAGGGAAGATAGATCAAATATGCCAGAGATCCTAAAAGACAGGAAGGTGGTTTAGTCTGGGGGCAGCTGTGATATAGGAAGTCATGTGTGTGACTTTTCTTTGCAGTCATCGCAGTTGTTTAGCCTTGTGAAATATTTAAAAAATTATTTTGCGGAAGGACAGTTAGCTTAGCTTCATTAGCAACTGCTTAGTTATGCAAGTCAATGAAAGTAATAAAAAAAGGCTGAGAATTTAAAGCAATTGACATAACTGGAATATTTTATACAGACTTTTATTAAGCGTATACCAGCTCTCCTTCGATGTGACTGATTGACGCTAGAACTGGTTCCGGTTTGACTGAGTAGCAAAATGTGCACCGATAGCAGGATGAACTCCGTGTGGATTATGTGTTCAGTTCTCTGCTCTTTTAGTGGTCTGAAAACTCGATCTTGCGGCATGCTGAGGGACGTGGTCTTGGACTTGGGAAATGGCCATCCATCTGTGGGACAGTTCTGTTCATCTCCCCGATCTTTGAAGTGTGTCGACAGTGCCACTGCCAGATGTGGCTTCTAACATAAAAACAATGGAGATGGAGTAGCAGAGCCTTCCGTTTGCCTGGTGAACTACTTGGATAGTTAATGAAACAGAAATCACTGCTACTGCATTCAGAGCTAATATAACCTTTTGTAGCTTCTGGTTTTTGTGATATACTACATCTCTACTCGAGTGTTTGCTCCGACTTCCCTGGTAGCAGTGTAGCCATCAGGTGAGCCTACTGAGTTTATATGAATAACAAAATCACTCTAAGTGATGCCAGTGCTGATCTCCCACCTAGAAGATAGAATGCAGTCAACTTGGACTGTGGCTCTTTGCACTCCCAATGTACCCTCTCCATGAACACATGGACAAGTAGGGTTGCATGAAATCACCTTGTGCGTGAAGAAATCGTTTTCATCCAAGACTGAAGCTTGTGACTTGAAAAGCTGAATTCTCATAGGTTTCACTATGGATGCAATCATTCTTTGGAACTTTTTTATCTAGACCAGAAAGGGTAAGAGTTTTATCAAAGGAATTTGGAATGAAATCCTCAAAAGCTGTGGTTCTGATGCAACTTTAATGAATTCCTGTCCATATGTAAGGAAGAAGTCCCAGAGACCTGTCAAACAAGATGCTGTGTTTCTATGAAATTGCCTCCATCCCTTCCTACCCAAACACCTGTGGAGGTTTGAAGCAAGAAGAAAGGGAAAGAACATAAGCAATTTCATTGCTTCTGTGGCAGCTGACAGAGTTGGCCAGCATTGAGGGCAAGTTACTGATGTGGACTTGGAGCAGGGCAGGAGACTGAGGCAGAAATCATGATCTCACTTAGCAGTTCTTCCTCAGATGTGTGCTTAAAACAAAGGAGCTGTGTACGTCTTCTTTACTCTGGTTATGTCCATGGCAGTCACAGGCTGGCATTCAAAAATGCTTTCACTCTGCCCCTCTTTTTTTTTTTTTCTTTTTAAATAAGATGCTTAATGATGTCCTGTTGTACTAATTAAGTTGTTATAGTCCTGACGTACTTGACTTTGCAGGATGCAAGCCTGATGGTTTTTTGATTAATGAATTGTCTGGTCATAACTTCTTAAAATGGTCTGTAAGTAATGTCTGTGTGAAGCATGGCATGCAGGAATGTATTGCAAAAGTAATGTATCTTAAAGGCATCTTGTCATCATTTTTGGTTCTGTTAATGAACTTTTTCCTCATTACTTGGATCAAATAGGATTTCTGCGTGTAGTTTGAGCATGATGACCCTGTCTTTTGCTACTGTTTATTTTAGGTATATTGGTAAAGAGCAGGCACCCTTCTTTTTCACCTCTGCAATAAGTGAGCAAAATTCACCTATGTTGAAGGCTGAACTGGGCTCTGCTTTTTTTTAGGAAATGGGATGATCAATGCAGAAAGCATTTTTGTTGATCTGTGCATGGCTTGCACTGCATTTCATACAGCAAAAATCACATGTAGCCACTTGTCTCTGTGTGTCTGTGCCTAGAATTGATGTGAACAAGATGAGGAAATCAGGACCCAGTACTGACTGATCTATGTGGATTGCTTTTTCTTTTAAATACTTATTTTTCTACCTCCCAGCTATGGATTGAATTCTCCATGTGCTTGTCTTAAGGACTTTTTAGGTTAAAGACATTTTCATATATTGTTTGTCTCTGTCTTATGTAGATAAAGAATTGCACAGGCATGGGAATTTGTTTGCAAGGAGTCAGCTAGGAATTCTTCTCATAGAGTGAAGGTCTCTCAGCTGAGGTACCTGCTGCTCATCCTGAGGTTCAAACACCAGTTAGGAAGTAACAGCGGAGGGGATGGAATTTGTTCACCTCTCTCTGAATTTCCATTGATTTATGTTTCTTACTGGATTACAGTCATACAATCTAAATCAGAGAACTCCTGAGCCTGTCCTGACATTTGCCAAAAGATGATCCACAGATCTGGGGAGTCACTGGTTAAAGAAGGCTTTTGTGAAATGAAGAATGCATTGATGGGGGAGGATGGCTGACAGCAAGGGAAGGAAAAGTCTTGCTGTCTGGCTGTATGTTATTTTCTAAGCTTTTGGCTGGCAGTATGTATGGGATAAAGAGTAGTTAATTGAACTTTTAGATGAACTAAACTTGTATCTACTTCATGATCTTGAGTTTCTGCCGAACCCTGTGACATGCTTGCTGTGAATGCAAGGATTCATTAGTGTGAAATCTTGAACCCAAGCACTTGCACAGGCATGGGCAAAAAGAGCTTGTGTGTGAACTGCCTGCAAATAAATTCACTGAGTGCCATTCCTAGAGCATGCATTTGAGTCATTTTCTAAAAATGTTAACATTACTTCATTTTATTTGATAATTACGTGGCCTAAATTGCTTTTTATTTTTGACTTTCAGGTTGTCGTGGGAGATAAAGTTGTTCTCATGCCAGTCAATGCAGGGCAGCCTCTACATGCCAGCAACATTGAGCTTCTAGATAATCCTGGCTGCAAAGAGGTGAGTTCAGTGGAGGGAGGACGGGAAGTGCTGGTCTCAGATGTATTATATGTTGTTCTTTACTAGTAACCAGAACTCACCGTGCAACTCACCATGGGCTAGATGACAGTATTAAACATTGGTTCCCACTTGGCCTCAAAAAACCGAGGTGGAATGTATTTATTCTTGGCACTGAAGGCTTTGTTTGATTTACCTGGGTATCTGAAACTCTCGCTGATGTACGTCCTCTTCCAAAGCCCTTCAGGTCGTCTTTGAAGGCTGTCAACAGACAGAGGGACATTTTGCCCACTGAATCGTTTCCAGCATCAACATTTTTATTATTAATACTTGAGAGCTTCAGGACCCACGCTAGAAGCTGTACAAATATGCAGCTAAGCCATGTCCTCTGCCACCTGAATGTGATATGCTCTTTTAGAAGAATATAGTATCTTGAAAAGAGACATTTAAGAGTGTAATTGTGGATTGTGTTTGTTTTTTTCCAAAGGTAAATGCTGTCAACTGTAACACAAGCTGGAAAATAACTTTGTTCATGAAATTCAGTAGTTACCGAGATGATGTACTGAAAGGAGTAAGTATGATTTTTTTTTTTTAATATACATTTTGAATCTGAAAGATCATGCCATACTTGAGTGTAAAGAAAACATTAAGCGGTGAATAAAAGAAGAAATGAGGACTTCATGGAGCTATTGAAGATCCCCCACTAAAGTCCTTCAACAGCAAAGATGCTTTTGTTTTGTGTTATTGTCCTACTAAATGAAATTGTCTGGATTGTGCCAGCTTCCAGATCCTTTCTCCTCCTCCCAGTGGCAACTGAGGATCCATGAGAAAAGGTGAAGTTCAAGTCCAGAATGATAAGGGGTCTCTGCAGAATAGCTGTGACTACTCAGTTTATGCCAACATGCTAAAAGCAGGTGTACCAAGCTTGCAGAAGAGACTGAGGTATGAAAGATGACAATAGCTATAGTAAGATAATGGAGCTTTAAATGCTGAGGTGTTGCAGAGCAGCGTGACTCCAGATTACTCTGTGAGATCATTTACATTTTCATTTTAAAGAGTTAGATTTAATTTGTCCTCACTCGTACCTCAGTAAGTCATTATGAGCTGGCTATTTTTCAGTAGGTATTAAGGTACCTGCAGTTTTTGAGGAAGAATTTAAAAGGGAAAATGGTATATCTCTGTAGCCTCATTTGGGGATAGTGTTTCAAGCCTTGAGGAGAGGCAAAAGAAAGCAAAAATGATGCCAGCAGAAGTAGAGAGGGAGCATTGGTTTTGGTTCCAGCATGGAAAAAATGAGGTAATACGATGTTAGAAAAAAAATCTGGTCACTTTCCCTAAATACCAATACAGATCAGAAATTAAAAAAAAAAAAAAATCTATCTAGTAAAGTTAGCTGGAATTAAAAGTCAGCTTTAGATGTATTGTTGTCCAATGCTTATTGCAGTGCTCTGAAACAAGTTCTGTTTTCACAAAAGGACATGGGGCTTCTGCAGGCCTGAATAATCCCATTTGATTTCCAGACTCAGTGCCAAGATTTTACACTGTGCTCTTGGTTCCCGCTCCAGCAGTAGGAAACAAATAAATGTTTTCTTCACATCAGTTATGTTGACACCCCTGGAACTAGTGCAGATATAGAAGATGAGTCTAGCAGCTTTGCCTACCACTTAATAATGCTTCTTTTTCATACTACTTTAGGGAGATGTTGTTAGGCTGTTTCATGCAGAGCAAGAGAAGTTTCTGACCTGTGACGAATATGAGAAGAAACAACATATTTTCCTTCGTACTACATTACGTCAGTCAGCCACTTCTGCAACAAGTTCTAAGGCACTGTGGGAAATAGAGGTATTTTCTTCTTCTTATAAATATTTTAGGAACTGAAGGCCAGGATTCAGTAAAAATACTTTACCACAACGTGAATCATTCATAGCCTCTTGATATCATCATACACCTCCCCGTAACTATTATTATTTTATGAAGTGGTTTGTGTAGGATGAACCCTGAAGAGGTGCTTTATTGCTGTGCATGTGTGGAGAGAAGGTGTTTTCTTACTTGTATTTACCTGCACTAAAATGACGAAAAGTCAAATTCACACTTGATGTAAATGGTGTGATTTTATCAAAGCCAACTGAATGTCACTCATGTATCCTGAGTTCTGAGTGTTTATATTTGACTTCATGTGCAATATAGAAAATTGAAATTCATGACTGACAAGAAATCTCAAAAATGTGATTGAGCGCATTCTTCTGGAACAGGGGCACATCAATATCTGTTTAAAGTTAGGCTGAACAGAGGTGTTGTTGTTGAATGTGGGTGACTTTGCTAAGATAACTAGCAAATGTATTTTTGTTTAACTGGGGAACACTGGAAACTGGTATGCTTCAAGCCCTTGCTATTATGATAATGTAGCATACCCAAAAGTTCTTATATGCTGAACAAAATTTCTGTATGTAAAATAGAGCTACTCACTTGGATAAGCGGTTGATTTAGGATCGAGTGAGGACTGTGTGGAATGGAGTATATTGTACTTGTGGTTATTCGAAATTACTCCTTGAGAGAGACAGGCACTGCTAGGTTTGAAGGTAGCAAATGACCTTAAAGCTCAGTCAAGGGCAAAAAGAAATAACCTGGGATATTTCAAATTACGTGGGGATGTTTTATCACTTGAACGGAAATTTATCAGAAGCCCCTAGTGTTGTCATAAATAGAACTGGTATAAGTGGTGAAACAATGTAAGAAGTTTTGAGTTTTGCTTTCAAGTAGTGCCTGTATAAGTGTGGAGCAGCTCCACTTACTTTCTTGAGCTCCAGATTTACACCATGTCACTTTAATGCAAAATTCGGTTCGTCATGTTTGCCAGGAATAGATTAATGAAAACATGGAAGGTAATAGGAGGAGTATTTACTGGCACCTGGCAAAAAATAAGTGTAAGTAGATATTATCTATGGTGGGCACAGTGTGAGCACAGAATTTTTCTCTGTAGTAGACTATTTGTAATTATACAGTTTACATATTTTTGTTTGGAATGAGCTGTAAGAACTGTCAGTGATCTAAGTACAATCTTGAAGAGCACGATTAAAATCTCTACTTCTTTTAGGTTGTTCATCATGACCCTTGCCGGGGAGGGGCAGGACAGTGGAATAGCTTGTTTAGATTTAAGCATTTGGCAACTGGAAACTACTTAGCTGCAGAGGTAAGTAAGAATGTAGATTAAATGAGTGCTTTTGTGCTGCCTAACCAAGTACTATATATGTCCTGTTAATTCAGACATGCCATGATAGGTAGGTCTGCTATGTAGATCTCTGAAAAGATGAGGTCTGAATGGGGAGATCTGTTTGTGCACTACTGAGTCATGCTGTATTGCTGTAGCCAAGGGTTGCAAGGAAAATTTTCTGAGCTACAAGGCACTAGTAGGTGAGTTCAAGACACTTTAATTTCATCTGTGCTGTTGAATTTTGAATCTGCTGTTGTCATGACAGCCAGGGCAAACACCACTGTTAAATATCCACCATATTTACACTGAAAATCCTTGGATTCATTTTCCTCTCTGCTCTTGTTTGCCCTTGATTTTTGAAATCAGTCAAATCTTCTCCTTTGCTATACAGAATAAAGCTTTTAGAGCGGGACTGAATGCAAGATAGTCATTGAGCTTGATCAGAGAAGACTGTGCATAAGCACTAGAACAGATCTCTAAACTCCTCTAGTTCAGGAATTATCATTCCTTTTTTCCTCCTGCAGGCTCTAGACTTGAAAAAACTGTTTCTATGGTGCTGGTAGCAGTGTACTGATTTTTGCATGTCAGCATGCGATCCAAGGCATCTCTGCTCTGTAGGACCTTGAGGAAGGGTGAACTTATATATTGGTGTCATGACTATTGCTGCCATGCTAGTGCGTTGTAATTATAAGCAGGTTGCAGCATGCTGCACTCTTGTCTTTTGACTAAAATTTGGATAAAGAAAGGTCTGAGAGAGGCTGTACCCCTTTTGGTGGAACAGAAGGTCCAAGAGAAGGAAGGTCTTGCAACTTGGCTGGTTATTATCTGGTACTTTGTGTTAAGGAAAAATAGTGTTCCGACTTCGCTAGAAGAGCAGCTTAATATCTTTTAAGATCTATCCATAATTGTCCTTAATAATAGAATAGGGCTCCCTGGTTGCAAGAAGATACGGACTTTTAAAATCAATCTAATCTGTATTAGAACTGGTCTGTGCCCAAGTTATATCAGTGTAATGAAAAGTAGGGGTTCTTCCCCTCGCTAGTTTAGTCAAGTCTATACAGAATGGCTTCTTTTGACTTACGCTTGGAAGTATGCATGTGAAAATATACAGCAAGAGCTAGTTACAAATCACTGTATGTTAGGTAATCCCTTAAAAGAAAGATTTGCTCTAACTGGCTTGAGTTTCATTTACAGCACTACAGCCTCTGTATGCAGACAACTCCTTAGTATTCATAGGGTGCTGTTTTCACTTTCCAGCTTCTGTTACAGCCTGCACTGATTTCAGAGTAAGAGCAAACAGGAGCTATGAAACCTTAACTTATTTCTAATTATGTCAGAATGTGAACAGTGAACTGCCGGAACAGATACTGATACTATTTTCCATCCAAGATTGAATATAATTGAGATCTTCTCATTGGTTTTAGCAGTAGCCCACAGTGTAAGTTAGAAACCTGATAGGCCCGAGTGGTGAAGAGCATCACCCCTTTAAAGGCTGACTTGCCTTAACTGCTCTGCTCTGCGCTGCTGCCTCCACCCCACCCCAGTACTTGGGCTTGGCTGAAGCCAGCTGCCTTTATTGTGTAGTTAATATTCGCTAATAAGAGCTAATTTTCAAGAGGCAACCAGTACTCTTAGGTAAGAGTCGGTTCTATTTTCCTCTCTGCTTACAGTGAGAGATGCTCCTAGTAGAAAGATTTTTTTTTTTTATTGGACTAGCTAGGCTGATGGAGAGTCAGGAAATGCATCAAGCACCCTGACTGATGGGCTTCCTTCTCCCTCCATACCTCATCTGCTCAGGGATTTTCAGGGGAAAAAGTCTTTGGGGGAAGAGGTGTCATGCTACACTGAATGTTGACCTTGAGCTTAGGTCCTTTCTACCTCTGGAAAGGAAATCCCCGTCAGGAAGACTTGTAATATGGAGAGTACAATTGATGCAGTAGAGTGAGAGCTGGAAGAGCATTTGGGTTGAACCAAGGTGATAGGCTGCGACTGGAGAAGAGCAGCATTAGCTGCTGTATCTATGAAGTGTGAAATACCTGCTGGTGGAGATATTAAAGGTACTGCTGTAATAAAAACCTATGAACTGTATTTTACACAGTTCACACGTCGGGCACAACACACCAGCCAGACACAGACGTCAAAGATTTATGAACAGGCAGGCAGACACCTAATGTGCGTGAGCTAACTTTAAATCAATTGGGCAAAGCTCACTGAACTCTTATCTGTGCTCTTCCACCACAGGAAGATTACTCATGGTATGAATTGTAATGGTGTCATGCATTAACATGACCCAATTTTTTTTAGGCTTCCATGATAAAGATATCTAGAGTGCAATAATAAGTATAAACGCGTAAACAAAATCTGTAAACGTTTTAAGTATTCTGGTTTTGGCTAATGATACATCTGTTACAGTTTGAGCTATTGTAAATCAGGATTGTTTGTTGTTTATAACTGTCTTTTCCGTACTCCATCCTTCTGTAAATCAGCTTGATGTGTACCTGTTGTGGTTTAAGCCCACCCACCTGGCAACAAAATACCAAATAGCCAATTGCTCACTCCTGCGCTCTGCCTCAGCAGGATGGGGAGGAGAAACTGGTACAAGAGGTTGAGGGTTGAGACTAAGGATAGAGAGGGCTCACTCACTACTTATGGTCACGGCTGAAAAACAGAGTTGACTTAGGGGGAAAGAAAAACACATTACTCTAATTTAACAAAACGTCCTCCAGTTTTCCAATCAGATCAGAGTAGGATAATGAGAAATACAGCCAGATCTTAAAAACACTCCCCTCCCCTACCCTTCTGCCCAGGCTCAGCTCTGCTCCTGATTCTCTACCTCCTCCCGCCGACGGCACAGGGAGATGGGGAAGGGGGGTTGTGGTCAGTCCGTCACACATTGTCTCTGCCACTCCTTCCTCCCCAGTGGGAGGACTCCTCACAGTCTTTCCCTGCTCCAATGTAGTGTCCCTCTCACAGTGTCCTCCAGGAACATCTCAAGTGCAAGTCCTTCCCACAGGGCTGAAGTTCTGCATGAACTGCTCCAGTGCAGGCCCCTCTCTTGGGGTGCAGTCCTCCCAGTGATGGACTGCTCCAGCATGGGCTTTCTTGGGAGTCATGGTGTGCTTCAGGTGCAGTCCCCTGCTCTGCCCCAGGGCTTCAGCTGGGATTCGGCTCCACCATTAATCTCCATGAGCTGCAGGGGCTTAGCCTGCATTATCACTATGGGATGGGGCAGAATCTCTACTCTGGCGCACGTCTCCCTTTCCTTCCTCACTGACTCTGGTGCCTGTGTGGTTATTTCTCTCACATCCCCCTCCTCTCCCAAACTAAAGAACTCTTCCAGCAGATTTTTCCCTCTTAAATATTTTATCTCAGCGGTGGTGATTGGCTCAGCCTTGGCCAGAGGTGGGTCATGCTTCTAGCTGGGAGAGCTTCTAGAAGGTCCTTAAAGGAGCTGCCCCCATAGCCCATCTGGTACCAAAACTCAGCAGACACCACCCCAACACAGTACCGTGCAGACTGCTGCAGTGGAATACTGCATTGGTCAAGTCTCAGACAACGAGCAGAAGTGCCCTTCACCTGGGTGTCTCCCTTTGCTCTGTGTAGTTAGGCTTGTACCTTGTGTGACCAGTGCCTTCTCTTCTTCTCCGAGGCTTCCTTTGCCAGATGTAACTGCTCAGGCTGACTCATGACTTGGTGCATCACTACTGAGTCATGTAGTGAAGGGATACCCCACTGCAGCTTGTTAAGGCCAGGTCATGATCTGGGGACTAAGAAAATTCAAGATGTTTGCCCCAGAGAATTTGGACGTTTAAAATAATTAACTTAAAGGTGTTTCTACTGCAGTAAGTAGCTTAAAAAAAAACCCTGAGACAATACAGTTGTTCACTAAACAGAAAATATAGGCAAGTGCTTGTAAGTCTAATTCTTATAAACTCAAGAAAAAGAAGTCAGGGTGTGTTAAGTCCTAAATTCCATGTTCCCAAGAATCACAGTCAGTCCTCCAGCTTTTATTACCTGTCAAAGACTAAAGGTCCTCTGATACCTTGGGCTCTAGCAGTCTCAAGCAGTACCATTTCCTTTAATCCTCTTAGCATCGGCATTACTTAGTCTAATTTTCATTAATATGCTTTGATGTTCTTTTAAGACCTACTAATACCATAAAGGAACCTAGACCCTACTGCCAGACTATAGGCTGAAGATGAGCCATCCTGAAAGACCCACTGCTAAAGGAAATGGAGTGAAAGATATTTGCTAATTGCATCTAGTCTCATTGTCGTTCCCGTACTGCTGTGCACATCATGGGAACACCGTCTGACACATCAAATGCATCTTGTGCTCTCACATAATTACTTAAGGCACAGGAGGGACGTGCTGAAAAAAGGTTTTCATGTTTGGTGGCAAGACTTGGAACATCAGAAGTCTGAATAGATGGTAATGTGTCCTACATGTCCAGCACTTGGAAACCTGAAGCCGCTGGCTCAGACATTTCCAAAACATTAAAATAATTAAAAAATGGAACCAAATATTAATCTGAAAAATTGGAAAGAGAAATTCTTTTCTTTGGAGACAGTAGGATTTCAGCTCTTAGTGTCAGAAGGGCTTGATTTCACCCAAAAGAGCTGAGCCAGATCCTTAGCAGGAAATTTAGACACTAAGCCACCAGCTAAGATACAGGCTGCTGAGTTTTATTCTCATCTTCACAGAGTCAGCAGTCTTTTAGAAAAAGTTCTGTAGAAGATTCTTTTTTTAGCCCTGGTTACAGCAAAATGACCCAAGTAATTATGAAGTTTTATATTTATAAAGAGAGGCTGTAAGGTTAGGTGCAAATTGAATGCTTCAAAGTAACAAAGACTTTCCCAATTTTTTTTTAAGGTCTTTTCAGTGCATGTACCACATGTAGAATGCACCCAAATCTATCTGTCTCTGTGTGGGAGTGAGCTGCAATTTATTGAATAGCCTTACAAATGCTGCAGGCTGGGATCA